TACATAATTAATAATAGATATTATAATCGAGAATTATAAAACACATTTTCAGTACAGATACATATCTTATGTATTTATTTCCAAAAGTGAAGTAATGCTAAAATCCATATTGTGTTAATAAATATCAAATATTATACAGGATGTCCTGTAACACTATCCCTATCACTCATGAGGAGGTAGATGGGAGCGAGATAAATTAATATGTCTTATACCATTTTGCGATATTCGCAATAATTTTCAAGTTATTAAGTATTAAAGTTGCACGAATAAGAGCGCGCGCTCGCCCGCCTGACCCGTAGGACGGCTCAGCGTGTCGACATTGGCCGCCCGGTGCTCGGCGATGATTGGGCAGCGCGCGGCGAGGAGAAGGATGAGCCATCGCTCACGCTTCTTATCATGCTGAAATTCGCGTCAACGTTATACACGCGACATTACAATTATTAAATATTTTATTCTTTATAATATTTATAGCTTTTTTAATAGCAAAAAATGAAATTAAATAATGTACTAGTTTCGCGAATGTAGCCTAACAGCTTTCCCTTTAAAATAGAAGAAGAACAGAGTAAATATTATCACTTTAAACGACAGTTGTAGTCAATATTCGAATAATATTAATATTCGATTCTTATCATTATGTGTAATTTCAAGAAAAAAATTTAAACTACAACTGTCGTTTAAAGTAATAATATTTATCCTGTTCTTGTACTTTAGAAGGAATGTTACATATTAGGCTACATTCGCGAAATTAGTACATTATTTAATTTCACTTTTTGCTATTAAAAGAGCTATAAATATTACGTTATTAAAAAAGCAATAAATATTATAAAGAATAAAATATTTAATAATTGTAATGTCGCGTGTATAACGTTGACGCGAATTTCAGCATGATAAGAAGCGTGGCTCATCCTTCCTCTCGCCGCGCGCTGCCCAATCATCGCCGAGTGGCCAATGTCGACACGCTGGGCCGTCCTACGGGCGAGCGCGCGTTCTTATTTGTGCAACTTTAATACATAATAACTCGAAAATTATTGCGAATATCGCAAAATGGTATAAGACATTTTGATTTATCTTGCTCCCGTCTATCTCCTCACGAGCGATAGGGACAGTGCTATGGAACACCCTGTATATAAATATCAAATATCAAATATGAAAACCAAATAAACTTTATTCAGATATATCGCACAATGGCAAGGTGCGCCTTTACCAGCACAAAGATTATTGCCAATTATAATGCAAAGAAGTACGAGAAGTTGCAAAATGGTTGTGGGAGGAATGTTTGTTCCATCATTCGAAGGCTTTGCAACGGTAAATGTAACACTAGTATGAAATATTTAACTATTTTAAAAATAATTAAATTAATATTAATATCATTATAATTATTAGTGATGAAATTTTTTAATTTTTAATTTTTTTATATAATATATTAGCATATATAAAATTCTTATTGAAGATTTGTTCGTAATTAATAATCATATTCATCTGCTTTATTCTTTAGAATTTTTATGTATAAACACATTTTCAATCAATTGCCATTAAAGTTAAATAAAAATAATCATATATATAATTTTCTTTGCATAACATTATTTTAAATTTCAGCTTATGAGTACGACTTTGTCGTACTTCACGGTACTCTGGTCCGTACAGAAATAATAGTTTTAATAATAAAACTTTATAATATATACTGTAGTCAACTTTAAATTGGTAGAAAAATAACTTTAATAAAATGTTGGCGAAATATATTTTTTTCAATTTATTAAATTTAATAAAAACGCCACTAAAATTTAAAACAAATACAAGTATCACAATGTATAATTAATTATTTTTATTTTTTGTTATTTTAATTATATTATTATATATTACATAAGATTGTTAATTAATAATAAAAATAATATCAACATTATAATTTGTTTAACATTTTCCGTCAATGTGTTAATAATTTTAATAGTGTTTAATATTTTAATATTTTTAATATAAATAAATATTGATTTATAAATGTATATTATATTATCAAATTTAAAATCTTTTAGACAGAAATATTTTAACTACAAAACTTTAACTACCGGTGCACAATTGTTAATCTGTTCTTAATTTATTAATATCTTAATTTCTATGGACTTAATTCTTACGTAAGATATTAAATAAAATAATTTCAATAAAATTAAAATTAGTATTTGAAGAGTACTTAACTTAATAATTTTAACTTAGTATACTAAATTTATAAATGTTGTATATATAATTATATATTATATTTTATTATTACGATAGTACTTTAGCAAAGTGTGAAACGTACCGTTTGACTGCTCAAGTGAAAGTGTAGAGTTTCTCTTGAATGGAAGCTTTGATCACGCTTGCATCGATTTGAAACGAAAATGATGTCAAGAAAATTACATACATATAAAATTAATACGTGTATTATATCTTCTACAGCAGAAAATGCAAGAAATATTTATCAATCATCCAAGTTTTTCTTTTTTCTTTTTATAAGTAAATATATCTTAATTAACTATAAATAGTAATATCACAAGCGTGTATATAATGATCTGAAACAATAACTGCAATTTTATATGGAAATTGAAGAGAAGTAAAATTGCGGACTATAATATTATAAAATTCATTGTCGTCAGATCTTTTCACATTTTTACTCAGACAAAACGGTTTTGACTATTGTCGAAAATGGATTTCATTGGAAGCAAATATTATGAGCTGAATCGTATGCTTTTGTTATCGATTGGTTTGTGGCCGTACGATGAATCAATATTTAAACGAATTAAAATGTTGGTGTCATCTAGTCTTATTGTATCATGTACCACCGCAATGGTACGATCAGGACATAAATATAAATTGAGTAAATCTTCTCTTCTCGATGCTTTATCAAATTTATTTTTTATAAACTTTCTAACAATTAGAACTAAATTTGTCTTTATAACTAAATTTCTTTTCACATATTTTCTTGAAAAATTTTTGCGATTTGTATCAATTTAAGTAATTCATTATTCTTATACTTAATATAGCTGTTATTTAATTATTGTATCGTTTATTACGAAAAGTATTGCTTGTAGATTGCAAAAATAATTACATCAAAGTGCGATATGGTAATTACGCTGAGAGTTTTGTCATTAACCTTTCCTTGTTTTATCATTATTGTGAAATACGTTACCTTTTTACTACTTCCTACAAGTGTATGTATACAAAATGATATTAATTTATATGACTAATTTATATAACTTAAAATTCAATCTATTGGTTTTGTAGATGACAGTTTTTATAATAATCAACAGATTTTTTTTTTAAATTTAGGATATACAAGATGTTTTATGTAACTCGATTATTTCGAGATCATCAGCATTTTCTCAAATAAAATATCATATTTTCATTAACGTAATAAGTAGTTCATAAAAAAAGATAAATTCAACCATATAGAGATATATTAATCTTAAGATGACATTAAACATAAAAGAATCACATTTAAATATGATTTTTTTTATGTTTAAGTTGATCTTATATAATTGAATTTTGTAAACTTAATTATTATGCTATACCATTTGACAAAAAGTTTTTTATCTCGAAATCTCGTTAAATAATAGACAAAAAGTGCTGTCTGTTATAATATTTGTCCATTGAAAACGAATAACTTTACGCTTTAACATTTTTTTCGTATTATTAGAAACAACAGAAATATTCTAAATAATCGAATTATAAGAAATACTCTGTATAATTTCATTAATTATCTCATTTCATTAATTATCTCATCATAAAATATTTTTGTTACTTATTTGTTGTAAGAGTAAACAAAATCATTAGAAATGCATTGATTTTCATTATTCGTTATTATTCATTCATCAAATAAATTATGATCATAGATAAAGGAGCTTATGGAATGGGTCCAAAATGATTGGAATACTTTGAAAGACGTAAATGAACTCAAAATAATCCACAAGTATGCAAATTTCGGACGACTCTGTACAATAACTTTTTCAGGTATATATATACACACACACACATATATATATATATATATATTACACACACACACACACACACACACACACACACACACACACACACACACACATATATATATATTACATGTATGTATATATGATAAGTAAACTATTATAAGAAATATTGGATAAAAAATATATAAAAAGCATGTAAGATAATTGTGTTGTGAATATCTTGCTTATAATATTAATACTATTATGTATTTATAATAATAAATTTGTAATAATTATAGCATTTGCATATATATGCGCAATTACTTTTCTAATAAATATGTATTTACCTAATATCCTCAATTTTGTGATGGCGCTAAATTTTTCTCGTGAACAAAAATTGCCGGTTGATGTGGAATATTTTATCGATGAACAGAAATATTTTTATATCATATTTTACCATATATATATAACGGTAATTTTCGGCATGACTATAGCTCTGGGTACAGAAACGCTTTATCTAGCATATGTTAATCATGCTTGTGGAATGTTTAAAATTGCTAGGTGAGTAATAAGTTACGAGAAATGTTTTAATAAGAAAGAAGAGTTATTATCAAGAAGAAAGAAACGATTTTAATATATTTTATGTTCAATCATAATTACTTTTTTAATAGTTATCGATTACAACATGCTTATGATCAAAATATTCTGCAACTCTCTCCTTTTGTGAAAAATACAATGATTCATAAAAAGATAGTCGCAGCAATAAAGATGCATAAGAGAGCTCTTGAGTTGGTATATGTGTACAGTTTAAAGTTACTGAAAACACTTATTTTTTTATAGCACAATTAATATTTATACACATTTGAATAATATTACGTAAAAAATTTTATTTTGTACCACACATTCACACATTATTTACTATGATGACTTTATTAATTCTATTTCATTCATTATAATCTGTTAATATATTTTATTTTGAACAATTTTTATTGTTGAAGGTTTCATGAATTTTTATGGTCCAAATTAGCAGTATCTTATTTCATTTTGATACTGATCGGAGTGGTATCATTAACTGTTAATTTATTTCGCGTAAGTAATAAATGTTAATGTATGATAATGTTTAACAGTGATTTTTTTAAGAATACCTATTTTGTTTAAAAAGTAATGTCTTTTGTCCTGTAGGTTTTTCAGGCAATAGTTGTAATAAAAGATACCGATGAGTTACTAACATCTAGTATATGTGTTCTTATCCATTTTGTTTACATATTTTGCGGCAATTATGCCGGACAGGTTTTTATAGATCACAGCATGAGCGTTCATGAGAATGTGTAAATACAAATGTTGTTAACAATAAGAAATTTGTTGGCAATTGAATAGCAACAAAGATAGAAGATTGTTGATAATATAGTAGAGATTTTAATAATATTTAAAAATTTTTAATTTAATTGATATGTTCTTCTTGTTTCTTTATAATCATAAAAATATCAATTAATCTACTTTTTGAGAAACGCAACCGATTTGAAGAACTAATTTTCTTTTGATAAATAATTTATATAATATCAATTTTATTATAACCAATTTTATTGTAATTTATATCGTATCGGATTTAATTTATATCGTATCGGTTTAATTTACTGCTCTGTAAGTAATAATCACTTGCTTTTATTAAATTATAGATATGATACTCGATGGTATCGTATACCAATACGAGAACAAAAATTAATTATATTCATTCTGCATCGAAGTATGCACAGTTGCAAACTAATTACTGGTGGCAACTTTGTTCTGTCATTAGAAGGATTTACTACGGTAACCGATAACAATCACTATAAAGCATTAATTTGATTCTCAACAATAACATTAATATCTTGTTGCAGCTTCTTGCTACATCGATATCTTATTTCACGGTACTATCATCTGTTCAGTACTAGTAATAGCAATTATGTGTGACAAAAATTGCGTTTGTATATCACGTTAATTTATCATGTTTAATAATTTCATAATTTCATTCGTATCAAATTTCTAGCGCTACTTACATGATCTATTTCTTCACTGCAAAACGTCGAATAATATTTTCTTCGGTCTAACTCATATGAATATAATTTAATTTAATGTGATTTTTAATGTGTATCTATATCATTTTAAAGCTACATATATTAATCGTTATTATAAACAAAAAAATAATTTGTTAATAAGATATAATCAAAATCATTGTGTATTTCACAGATATGTGAAAAAAAATAATAAAAGAATATTTATTAGCTTGAATTACAAAAAATTACATAAAACATTTCAATAAAACCCTATAGTTATAAATTTTGTTAACTTTAACATTCTTCAAAAAGAAAAATCTAATCCAATTTTAGTATAAAATAACCTTCTTCTTTTTCTATATAAATACACACACACACACACACACACACACACACACACACACCGCACACCGCACGCGCGCACGCGCGCAAGACACACGCACACACGCACACACGCACACATGCACGCACATATAAAAAAAAAAGAGAGAGAAAGAGTAATAGAATATGCTTTTCCGTCAAACAATAAGTAACAGAATTTACATCAATAAATCAGTTAATATATTATTTAAAAAGCCTAATTGTTATCAAAGAATTATGTAAAATATATATTATGTTAATATACTTATAAGAAAGAAATGAAATTTCCAACAATTGCTGTTATATATTTTGTAATTTTTATTACATAATCTAAATAATTTTCAAACCTTGGAATTTTGATATTTTGTTCTACAATAAATATAATAATATGAAAATTTTAGTAATAGCACCGTCGAACATTTTTCAGTCTGAAACAATTCAT